GCTGGGTTGTTCTGTCCCCTCACGGGGGTTGTTCTGTCCCCATGGGAGTTGTTCTGTCCCCTCAGGAGTTGTTCTGTCCCCTCAGGAGTTGTTCTGTCCCTGCTGAGGTTGTTCTGTCCCTTCGGGGGTTGTTCTGTCCCTTCAGGGATTGTTCCGTCCCCTCGGGGGTTGTTCTGTCCCTGCTGGGGTTGTTCTGTCCCCTCCGGGGCTGTTCTATCCCCTCGGGAGTTGTTCCATCCCTCGGGGGTTGTTCTGTCCCTGCTGGGTTGTTCTGTCCCTTCGGGGGTTGTTCTGTCCCTTCGGGGTTGTTCCGTCCCCTCACGGGGGTTGTTCTGTCCCTGCTGAGGTTGTTCTGTCCCCATGGGAATTGTTCTGTCCCTGCTGGGTTGTTCTGTCCCTTTGGGGTTGTTCTGTCCCCTCGGGAGTTGTTCCGTCCCTGTTGGGTTGTTCTGTCCCTTCGGGGGTTGTTCTGTCCCCTCGGGGGTTGTTCTGTCCCCATGGGAATTGTTCTGTCCCTTCAGGGTTGTTCTGTCCCCGCTGGGTTGTTCTGTCCCCATGGGAATTGTTCTGTCCCCTCAGGAGTTGTTCTGTCCCCTCAGGAGTTGTTCTGTCCCCTCGGGGGTTGTTCTGTCCCTTCAGGGGTTGTTCTGTCCCTTCGGGGGTTGTTCTGTCCCCACCGGGATTGTTCCGTCCCCGCTGGGTTGTTCTGTCCCTTCGGGGGTTGTTCTGTCCCTTTGGGGTTGTTCTGTCCCCTCAGGAGTTGTTCTGTCCCTTCGGGGGTTGTTCTGTCCCTTCGGGGGTTGTTCTGTCCCCTCACGGGAGTTGTTCTGTCCCTTCAGGAGTTGTTCTGTCCCCTCAGGAGTTGTTCTGTCCTTTCAGGGGATGTTCTGTCCCCATGGGAATTGTTCTGTCCCCATGGAAGTTGTTCTGTCCCTGCTGGGGTTGTTCTGTCCCTTCAGGGGTTGTTCTGTCCCCTCCGGGGTTGTTCTGTCCCCTCACGGGGGTTGTTCTGTCCCCATGGGGTTGTTCTGTCCCTGCTGGGGTTGTTCTGTTCCCTCGGGGGTTGTTCTGTCCTCACGGGCGTTGTTCCGTCCCCGCTGGGTTGTTCTGTCCCCGCCGGGGATTGTTCTGTCCCCGCTGTGGTTGTTCTGTCCCCTCGGGAGTTGTTCTGTCCCCATGGGAGTTGTTCTGTCCCTCGGGGGTTGTTCTGTCCCCTCAGGAGTTGTTCTGTCCCTGCTGGGGTTGTTCTGTCCCTGCTGGGGTTGTTCTGTCCCCTCCGGGGTTGTTCTGTCCCCTCGGGGGCTGTTCTGTCCCCATGGGAATTGTTCTGTCCCCTCAGGAGTTGTTCTGTTCCCTCGGGGGTTGTTCTGTCCCTGCTGGGTTGTTCTGTCCCCACTGGGGTTGTTCTGTCCCTCGGGAGTTGTTCTGTCCCCTCACGGGGGTTGTTCTGTCCCCTCAGGAGTTGTTCTGTCCCTGCTGGGGTTGTTCTGTCCCTCGGGGGTTGTTCTGTCCCCACGGGAATTGTTCTGTCCCCTCAGTTGTTCTGTCCCCGCTCCTTCCTTCCCAAATCGCTTCAGGGGGTGGCCACGGGGATGTGCCTCCCACCCCATCCTTTGGAGAAAAAAGGGAAAAATGAGAAAATGAGCGGAGCCCCCACCCCGAAATCACCTTGGCTGTGCTGCGGGGCTGCCCCAGCACCGCCCTTTGCCTTCCCTTTGCTTTCCTTGCCTTTTGAGCTGCTGATAAACAACGCCCGTCCCCAGACAGCGGCCAAGTGTTGGTTAAACCCCGCTGGAAATCCCAGCTGCGCTCCCAGGGCTCCAAAACACCCAAAAACAGGGGATGAGCCCAAGGAGCTGCAGCCCAGGAGGGTCCCCAACCCCAGTGCCCCTTGTCCCAACCAAGCCAGAAAAGCGGCCACAATCAAAGCCAGCACAATCAGCAGGTAAAAATTAAACTTTTATTTTCAATCCGAGTAAACCAGCAAGAGAATCGATGGTCGGGTTGTTCCATTCCGTGGGTTTTCTCTTTTTTTATTTTTTTTTTGGATAAAAAGGCCAAGTAATTTTGTAAAATTTTTGTTTTTACTGGTGGGTGCTCAACCCAGGAAGGAGGACACAAGGACAAAACCCCAATTAAGCGACGGATCCCGAGGAAAACACGTTCTAAGCTCAGCACTGAGACACAACCAGGGAAGCTGGGATGGATGAAATCTATTTTACACGTGATGAGAAGCAATTATTCAGCTTTTTAATTGTTCTTCTTCTTTGTGATTTTTTTTAAACTCATTTATTTATTTACTTATTTTTAAATACAGGTTTAGGTGCTTTTCAGCTATGAAAAAAAAAGGCAAAAAAGTGCATAAAGTTGAGAGAAAAGGCAGAAATCAAGCAATAAGAGGTTTGTTTCCCATGGCGGGGGTGAAAGGAGCATGGGAGGGGAGAATTTAGGGACGACGGTTTTGAGGGAGGATTAAAAAAAGATCTGTATCCCAAAAGGGAATTTCCTGTGTTATTTGGTCCATTAAAAAAGGGTTTATTCACATTGAGGCTCCCTCCCCATTCCCAGACAAGAACGTGATTACGAAGAGGATTCAGCAGGGGGAGGAGGAGGCTCCCCCTGCCCTTGTGCTCCCTGTTTTAGCACCAGCTGGGATTCCCACCCTGCCCTGCTGCCACCCCAATTCCCTGTCCCCAACCCCACTGCAGCCACAATTCCCTGTCCCCAATGTGACTCTGCCCCCAGTGAAGGGAGGTGTCCCCAGGAATGTCTCACTCTGCTTTGGTCCCTAATTCCTGATTTTCCAGTGGGAATAACAAAGGTGGAGCTGCCTCCTGGCCCCACAGTGCTCCTGGCATGGGGACACCCCATTGTCCCAGGTCCTGGCATGGGGACACCCCACTGTCCCCAAGCCCTGGCATGGGGACACCCCATTGTCCCCAAGTCCTGGCATGGGGACACCCCATTGTCCCCAGGTCCTGGCATGGGGACACCCCATTGTCCCCAAGGCCTGGCATGGGGACACCCCCACTGTCCCAGGTCCTGGCATGGGGACACCCCCAATGTCCCCAGGTCCTGGCATGGGGACACCCCCATTGTCCCCAAGCCCTGGCATGGGGACACCCCCATTGTCCCCAGGTCCTGGCATGGGGACCCCTCCAATGTCCCAGGTCCTGGCATGGGGACACCCCCATTGTCCCGGGTCCTGGCATAGGGACACCCCATTGTCCCCAAGCCCTGGCATGGGGACACCCCCACTGTCCCCAAGCCCTGGCATGGGGACACCCCCAATGTCCCCAAGCCCTGGCATGGGGACACCCCATTGTCCCCAAGCCCTGGCATGGGGACACACCAATGTCCCAGGTCCTGGCATGGGGACACCCCCACTGCCCCAAGCCCTGGCATGGGGACACACCAATGTCCCAGGTCCTGGCATGGGGACACCCCCATTGTCCCAGGTCCTGGCATGGGGACACCCCATTGTCGCCAAGCCCTGGCATGGGGACACGCCAATGTCCCAGGTCCTGGCATGGGGACACCCCCATTGTCCCAGGTCCTGGCATGGGGACACCCCATTGTCGCCAAGCCCTGGCATGGGGACACCCCCACTGTCCCAGGTCCTGGCATGGGGACACCCCAAATGTCCCAGGTCCTGGCATGGGGACACCCCATTGTCCCCAAGCCCTGGCATGGGGACACCCCAATGTCCCCAGGACCCTCTGGAGGTCCCTGCTCCTCCCTCCCTGCCCAGTTCCAGTTTAACCCGACCCCGATCCCCCCCAGGAGCCCAGAGGAGAAGGGGACAGGGACGTGCTTTGATGTTTTGGTCCGTGACACCATCCCAAAGTGGTCCCAAAAAGCTGCCACCAGCGCTGTCAATGAGAGGTGTGGGCAGGCTGGGGGTGTCACAGCACCCAGGGGACAGTGACAGGGGTGGTGGCAGCACTCAGCAGCAGCAGCAGCAGGAGGAGGAGGAGAAAAGCAGGAAAATTCTGGGTGGGGGGAAAAAAGGCTCCACCCCAGGGGACCCCCAGAGTGAGCGGGAGCTCTGGGGGAGCTGATCCCAGTTTGGGGGGACTCATCCCAGTCTGGGGGGCTGATCCCAGTTTGGGGGGCTGATCACAGTTCAGTGGGGTTGATCCCAGTCTGGGGGGCTGATCCCAGTCTGGGGGGCTCATCCCAGCCTGGGGGGGCTGATCCCAACTTCAAGGGGCTCATCACAGTCCAGAGAACTCATCCCAGTTCAGGGGGGCTGATCCCAGTTTGGAGAGCTCATTCCAGTCCAGGGAACTCATCCCAGTCTGGGGGGGCTGATCCCAGTTTGGAGAGCTCATCCCAGTCTGGGGGGCTCATCCCAGTTCAGGGGGGCTGATCCCAGTTTGGAGAGCTCATCCCAGTCTGGGGGGCTCATCCCAGCTTGGGGGGGCTGATCCCAGTTTGGAGAGCTCATCCCAGTCTGGGGAGGGGTTCATCCCAATCC